ATAGTATATATATATATATATATATATATATATATATAAAATAACACTAACAATAAACTATTATACACAATTTATTAATCTAGGCTAATGTTAATTTATAAATGTACTACTCTACTACTCTTCAATGTTAATTCATGTTTTCTTCATAATATTTTAACTAATACTGATTTATACAACTTGAAATTATTGTTTTAGCATATGTAGAAATTTATATTTACCTATATTAATAAATGATGTTCATTATTAGTTCATGATACCTTTTTATTAAGTAATGATAACATTTACAAGCTTATTTTGAAGTGTTACCAGTATATGGACTCTGCACAATCAAATTATTAGCTATAATTACAATAATTGGTCAAAGTTGTTTATGGCATTCAGCCATAAAAAGATCTCATTGTTAAAGAGATGTGCATTTTCCTGGTTTCAATATAAATTGCTTGAACTTCTTCGGCACTGCTAAAATACAAGCCATATTGCTTTGGGACACTGTAAAATGCAGCATGTTATTCATCTTTTAAATTATTATTAATTATCTTTAGCAATTTTGACATTCTGTTATTATGTTAAACCAAACTGAAGCATATATGAGGGAAAATATTAAAACTAATAAGATGAATTACAAATGACAAAGTGTCAATTGTGAACAGTTGAATTAGAAATAATTACTGGACCTCATAGGTTACACTAGTGCATTATGGGATATGAACGATATCCGTTATGAGCACAAGTTGTTTTTAAAATTCATGACACAATGTCTGAGATGATCAGCCATTTAGAAGGCTTGGCAGAATCAAGAACTAATCACATGCCATTGTAGGAAAGAGACAAAAGAAAAAGCGTTACACACAAAGAGCCAAGCAGGGCGTACTCAGAAAACGCGTCCTCCTGCCACCTGGTTTGAAGGTCACTCTCTCCGACCCACAGCTGAACTTTACACAGCCTGTGGTACAAAAAGAGGGAAAGAGAAAGAGAGAGATGGAACAGAGGAAGAGAGAGAGAGAGAGAAAGAAAGAGATGGAGCAGATAGCAGAGAGAGAGAGAGAAAGGAAACGTACACAAATACACAGTGAGAATGGTAACAGAGCTCAGTAAGCCATGAATTCCTGACAGATAGAGAGAGTGAAGGAGGTGAAGGAGGGGAGGAGTGGCCCTGGGTGGGTGAGCGTCGAGCTGTACGGAAAAGAAGAGGAGGAAAAGGGCCCTGAAAGCACAAGCATCAGCCCTGCAGCTTCATCCAAATCAAAGCGTGCATTTTCTCAGATAGGCAAAGCAAATATTCCTGTGTTCAGAGTTGATTCACCTGCACTACCACAAATAGGGCCGCTACGAACCACCACAAAAGCCATAAGAACATTAGAGGGGAAAATAACATTTGAATGACTGCTGGACAAAAGTTTCTTCCCACTGTCATCCTGAAGTTTTCTCCACAAAATTTGCAAGACTCAAAAGAAATCGACCACAGCTGGTTTATGTGACTAAAACATCCAAAAATGACAAAACCAAAGGTGAACTATGGCTACGTTCATACAGTTTTGTGGGATTGACAACCGCATTTACTTACTGGTGAGAATCTCAAAATATCCCGTTCACACAGCAACTTAACAGTCTTGAATACTGTGTCTGTATGAACGTGCAACAGGAGTCAAGCCTGTATTCCTTATCAGTAACCATAGCGACAGTGACCAAAGTAATATCCAACATCATGGCGACGTCCATTAAACTGAAAAGTCTCATCACTTTTTGACACGCCAAGAGTCCAATCGGGAGTTCATCCGTCAAATCTTCATTAACTGACAACAGCTTTTATGTTTGGGTGGAGAGCGGAGCATTTGAGGCGCGCAGAACAGAACTGACAGGATCTAAAACTTGACACACAGGTCACATCTCTGTAGACACACATTTGTGCAGCAGAGCGACTCTCTCTCTCACACTGTATGACGTGACAGACAACTAGATGTCCAGTCCGGTTCCGTTCACACAGCTCGGGTTTTCCGAGAAAGAGGTTGTGAGTCCTGAAAATTTACAGGTGTGAACGTAACCGTATTAATGACTCATATACAGGATTGACAACCGTACTCTGCTGCTGTGTGAACGGGGCCTATGTGATTTAGGAGTGGGCGATATACGAATTGAAATTAGTCATAAATACCATAATTTTTGGCATAAATTTGCAAAGAAGAAGGTGAAGCACCAACAGTTCTCCCTTATTTAAAAATCTAAGCAAATTGCTTACCATTTTAAACTAAGAAGAGAGAAATCTAATTTATTTAAATAAAACTAAAAAACTTTATATAAATAAAGTTGGGATTTATTTAATACAAATAATTTAAGATTTTTTGTATTTAATTTAAGATTGATTTATTAAAATATTAAATATTAAAATATTTTTATAAATTAATTTCATTGTAACTACAACAAATGTATTTAATTTCAATGGTTAAAATATGGTTTAAATGTTTTACTTAGCAGTTTACATAAAAATGTGGACACTGTGATATTGTTATAGTCCAAATTGTGAGAATGTTTTTTTTCTGCTTATTGCCCACCCCTAATGTCAATTTATCTGTTACTTTGTGTGTCAAAAACAAAACACAGGGTCAAGCTTAGGGCTGTGATGTGTTAGGTTTCTTTATTTTTACCTTGCGAGGTGACACACAAACTGGGCGCAGAGAGCGTGGCGTCACTGGTGTAAGCGGAGCACAGGTTCTCACTAGAAGGGGAGGGTTTGAAGGACTGGAGCAGAGGGCTGCTCCCCCCATCTATCATCCCCCCAGGGGCCAGGAAGGCCTGCTGAGGCGGATACACAGAGGGAGCGCTCTGCACAGATAAAGTGCTGGTTGCTGTAAGACCACAGACAAAAACACACATACATATAGAAGCGCTGATCAGAGCCAGGACACAAACACAGATTTGAAGTTGCTGGGGCTGAATTCACAAAATCTTCTTATAAAAGTAGTTAAGAAATTTCATAAGTGCAGTTCTTAAAAAATTCTTGAAGGAATAGTACACTTCATGTACTATTGCCATCCAAGATGTACAGTAGCTGATTTTTTCACAAAATTATTTTACTGATTTTTTTTTTCCATTTTTTTTTTTTCCAAAAATTTTGTCCATAGAAGAAACTTAACATTCTTAAGAAATATTCTGTATTCCCAAAAACTTTTCTTAACTTCATTCGTAAGATAGAAAATAAGAAGAAAATACCAGTTAAGAAGAATATAATTTTTAAGAATGTTTTGTGAATCCAACCCCTGATTTGCACAAAAATGCAAAGCAGAACAAGTGAATACCTGGCAGTATAGGACTCTTGCTGCCCTGTGAGCTACTGCGGCTAGATTTGCTGCTTTTGCTCTTGGTGGGACGTCGTCTGCGGCCGGCTGGGTTTACAACGGGAGGGTTGACCATGGCGGGAGGTGCTTTGCCCAAGCGAGTGAACAGTGCTTCAATCTCTGCCTTCTGCCGGGTGTACAGAGCCTGACTCTCCATCATGTGCCTAGGAAGACAATAAGGAAGTCACAATTACTCCACATATCTTTAACATGTTACTCTGTCCCAACACCTGTTACAATATCTTAATCAAAAACAAACATACTTCTCCCTCAACTTGCTGACTTCTCTCTTAAAGTCTTCATCTTCAAACTCTGAGTCATTGTCGCTGCTGAAGTAGGAGCTGACCGAGTTGTTGAGGCTCCCGGGACTTGGACCATTCCCAACAGCTGGATGGGCCGGAGGTGCCGGCTGGGGTTCTGGGGGTTGTAAGCTAGCCACAAGAGCCTCGTCCTGTGCTCTGCTCACTGAGAAACGCCCCACCTTCGTGTCCGCCTTGGTGGTCACCTGGAAACGGCCAATGGTGGTGGGCTGTGGATGGGTTGTCGTCCGATTGGGGAGAGCAGGGAGGCCATCAACCTCATCTACTTTTGTGTCTCTAAGGGGAGAGGAGGTTCGGTGTAGCGTGTTTTCAGGGCTAGAGAGAGTGGAGGAGGATGATGAAGAGGAGGTGGTGGTGGTGGAGGAAGAAGATGTGGAGGATGATTCCTGGGAGGTGGTGGGAGCCTGCAGGGCGTTCTCATCAGGAGCCGCTGACACCTGAACAACAGAGAGATCAAGAGTGCCACCTGGTGTCATACTCAAACACTGAACATACTATTCCTGTCATTGCATTGTGAATGCAAGCTACCTGGAATCGTCCCAGTTTGTATCCTCCAGCTGCAGGTGCAGCTGCTGACTCATCATCCAGAGAAAACGATACTGTGAGAGAATCATCATTAATAAGCACAGCTGATAATGAGTTAATGTAATATGAGAACAGGCTTAAATTTTTAGCAACCCATTGTTTAAAGAACAGGTTAAAGTAAAATTGGCAGCACATACCTGGCTGTCCTCCGGGTGGGATCCCAGTGAGAGATGACTACAGGGACAAAAAAGGATGAAAATAAGATTACAGACATATAGATAATGTGCAAAAAAAAGTAAATAATTTAAATAAAAAATTTAAAATAATAAAAAATAATCATATATATAATTTTAAATAAAAAATAATAAATATTATAAATTATCATAAATCAGATAATTATAAATCCATACAGATAAAAAAAAAGATAGATAAATCAGAGGAGCTAATTCGAGAACCATTTATTTTATCTGTTCTTTGTGTATGGAAAGTTCCAGTGGGGTTGTTTTGAATCTTTAAATGCAATAAATCAAATCAGACAGATCCGGCACTTAATCCACGTGTGCTGGTGTTTTTCCGGCCAGACCCCTGTTAGTGTGTGTGTACCTGGTGCGTGACACTGTTGATTGGGACGGTCTCTGGACTCAGCGCCCGTCTCAGCTGGGCATCCAGATCCTCCAGGGGCTGCTGGGACTAAATAATCCATTTTGGCAATTATTCAAGTTCACTTAGCCCCAAGAAACAAACACATGCAGACTCGTACACTTATAACTCATGGCAAGTGCACACAAATACAGCAGGGGAACCGTGTATCTAATTAACTTCTGCATGAGATGATCTCTTACAGTAAGTAAAGGGTCAGATGACCACTGCCTGGAAGAACTAAATGCTTTTAATCCAAGCTGAGGCTTCCTTTCATGTTCCACTACATATTTGTGAGATTGAGAGTAAATCATTTACTTGGTCCATGCACCGCGGTTCTTGAAATGTTTTGTACAGGTTGGCTGAGTGCTATCACAGTAAGTTTTCTATTCACAAGTGATGGATGAAAAATATCACATCAAATCTACAGGATTAGAGAAAGTCTCTTGCATTTAGTATGGATCGCCTTAAGCAGAAGGGAAGGATTTTCTCTGAGTTTGACGTGAATTCAAGCAGGGTTCAATTTGGAGCAAGGAAAATCATATAACATCTAAACGACTTTGATTAACTGAGAACTGACCGAAATCGAGCTTCATCCACAACATGCTAAAAGATAATGACAAATCACTGACGTTTTAGGGGAGAAAAATTACACTCAAAAAGGGGAAGTCAAAGAGTCAGAGTAGAAGCAAATCTCAAAACAAAACACAGGGAAATTCAGCATATCAACACACTTAAAAAAAATTAAGAGGCAATAAAAAAGCAAATGTAATATATCTATCTAAACTAGAATGACTGCATTTATAAAAAAAGCTCTTTAAAATCTTACAAGGGGACAGAAAAGCAGTTTCTTCTTTCCTTTTAACTATCATAAAACTATTATTAACAAATGAGTTTGAGGTTTTATTACAGTCCCGATACCAGAACATGAGACAAAACACTGAAAATGTTTCACATGTGATGTTGTTTTCTGCAATCACATCTTTCCTGTTCTCCACTTGCCAAAGGCAGAGAAAAAGAGAAAGAGCAGCTAATCAGAGTTAATGAGTGTCACAGGTCATGCTCCTAACCGGCCTTAAAGGAAAGCTACGCCATGCAGCGGTTTGATTCTTATGTGATTCAAAATCTTTACACATGCTCTTCATGTTTTACAGGAATGCAACTATATAAAAACAGAGACAGAGAGAAAGAAGAAAAGGGCACCTGAGTTAAACAAGGTCCTGGGAAGGGTGGTAGGTGCTCTGTGGGCGGCGTGCCAGCCTGATCTGGGCCGACAGGCAACACCTAATGAATGAAGACGGAAGAGAAACTAAAGCATTGTAAAGAATGAGAGCTGGCAGAGGTGCCAATAAACTGCCACAAGCAACATGCAGCATAAGACTGAGTGTTATGGTCAAAGCTGTACTCAAAATGTGACTGGAGCTTTATTATAATATTATAGAAAAGTGTCAGTTTGGTTATATGGTATTCATGTAGGTTTACAATGTCATGCATTTGTCAGTCATGAAATTCAACAGCCATGCAGAAATTGGGTTTAAAAACAGACTATAAAATTACAGTTTTTTATATTGTTAGTGGTTTGAGAGAGGGAGGTTAAAATGTGATGTTAAAGACAAGAAAAGTGTTTGCTTTAACTGGTACAATGATGTCAAACTTATTTGCATTGTGGCATTATTTTCATGACAACTATGCCCCAGATTTACACTACTGTATTGCAATATACACACATTACACTGTATACTTACTACTATTCAAAAGGTTTTTTTTTTAAAAACATTTTTTTCAGGATTCTTTGATGAATAGAAACTTCAAAAGAACAGCATTTTTAAAAAACAAATTATAGTATTGAGAATTTGATTTTTTTTTGCATTACAGCACTTACAATTGAGGGAGAGCTTGCTTTTAATTTGAATTAAAATGTCAATTAGAAAAAATCTTAACTGTGCTAAAAATAGGCTTCATTTGCTTTATAAAAATATATAATTATTTTTTTTCTTTGATTTTGTGACATGACCTATACATGTTGACAGGTTTCTTGAGAAACTTTAAATCAGACTTCTACAGCCTTTCGAATTTTTGATCAATCGGTCACTCACCGGTAATCTTGATAACGGCGCTTTGGATGGAGTCGTCTGACTGTAGCCGACCGGGGTGGAGGCATTACCCATGGAGGTCATGGGAGAGCCCGTGGGCTGACCGGAGGAGTTCAGGGGTAAGCTAGAGGGAGGGAGAGGTGTGCCGCTAGGGGTGGTGCAGGCAGTTGGAGAGGAGGTGCCAGGGACGCTTGGGGCTGCCATGGGGTCAGATGTGACATCAGACTGGGCAGAGGGCGGACCAGAGCCCAGGTCCATGAAAAGCGAGCGCAGTTTTTTATCCAGAGCCTGAATGTCATCAACGCCCTTCCCCTGTGGATCGCTGTCACATTCTACACAATGTGCGTGGCTCTGATTGGGCACGGTGGAGGTTTGAGGTTGGCTGTGCACGGGTGTGGGCTGCACGACTGGTGTATTGGTGGTAACCGGCTGGAGGGTGGGCACTTGTGACTGAGCAACCGAGGTGGGAATGACCGTGGTGGTGGATGGTGCGAGCTGCGGCGTCTGGATGGCTGTGGTGGGGATGACCGGTGGTGTGAGCTGAGCTGAAGTGGAGGGGATGGGCGGCTGTTCACTACTGCCACCAGAAACAGATCCCATAGGAGTCGGGGGATGAGCGAGCAGGGCAGCAGTACAGGCAGGTACGGGCATGGGGACTGAGGTTTGGGGGAAGGATGTGGCGGCAGGCACAGCTGGCATTGGCAGAGAGGAAGTGGTGGAAATAACACTGATGACGGTAGGTACAGTCTGACTTTGAGGCAGAGGGAGTTGCGAATGGGCTGGAGGGGAGGTCATGGCGGAGGCAGGAAGGGTAGGAGGAGGTGACGAAGACCCTGGAGGGTTTATGGAGACAGAGGTCACTTCAGAAGACACTGGTGGAGGGACCACTGGGGCGGTGCTAGAGGGCAAGGGTGCTGCGGTGGGAACCAGAGGGGGCAAGGAGACATGGAGCATAGGCGGCGCAGTGCTGGGACCCGGGTCAAACCGGCCTTGACGCAATTCAGAAAACGCTTGCTGTAGACTGACTGCAGACGCTGACATAGAAAGCCCCAAGGCAGGCAGTGGAACTGACACAGCTGATAAAGAAGCAAAATTCAAGACAGAAATGAGTACACGGTTGCAAAAGTTGTCTAACATGCTACATCTTCTAGTCTAGGCTATTTGTACTAGGGGTCACATTAAAGTAAGGGACAAACACATAAGACATTTGGTCCAAACTAGATTAATGATTAGTCACATAATTCTTAGGAATTAAGTGCACTTACACTCCCTCCAAAAATATATATAACAAAAAAAAGTCTTCTCTGCATTTCTACTCTTCTCTAGCTTACTTCCTAATCTAGTTGTCAAATAAATCATGCATTGAATATTACAAATATTGTTATATTTGTTATATAATAATTGCTATTGTAGTGTCAGCTAAATGAATAGATGTATTACCTATTACTTATACCTAAATGTATAACCTACTGTATGTATAACCTATAACATTATTTCACATAGTACACTCACAGGATGAAGGCTCTTCAATTGTGGGTTGGGGTGAGCTAAAGAACTGTTCCTTCAGTCTGGATTCAGGCACTGGACTCACGATAAACCTGCGGCCTGCCGAGTGGACCACCAGGGCAGCTGAACTCGGTGGCACACCTGGGAGGAGAAAAGACCTCAGTCCTGATGCATCATTAAAGAGGATGCTAACTTGTTTTACATGCTGGGATTGTAAGCTCTACCTTGTTCAAGAGGTGCAGATGTGGTGGGCATATGCTGCTCGTGATCACTGACTGACTGGAATCATTGGTGAGACATTGTTAACTGTTGTTCACAAGAATCATTTCAATATAAAACAGAGTACAAGAAGGTACATACCTGGCTGCGCTCTCTCTCCACACCTTTCTCATCTGCTGTTTCTATGACCTCTCGAATCTGCTCGATGAAGGACTCGCGCTCGCTCTCTAGAATGAATTCACTTTGTACCTAAGACATGACATGAAGGAAATAATACCTCTTCTTAATGAGTTTTGGCAGCCCAAAGCGTATTTTGGAAACAGAAATGTAATTTTATTCAACATCAGCTTTTTGTCACAGATCAAGTTCAAAAGAAATCACAGGTTAATTGAGCATATCTGTTAAGCATTAAAAACGCGGGTGGTGTTTCAAGTTACCATTATCTGTGCAATTTCCTCTGGGTTATCGCCGTCGAGATCAAACTTGAAAGTCACCATTTTTCTGTTGTGTGTTTCTAATTGACACTCCGCAACTCTATCGCCCATGCTGGAGATCTGAAACAACAGAGATGTTTTGTTGCATGTCTTGTTTTTCCACCACCATCAAAAATGGCAAAAAACAATACAAGAAAAAGGCCAATGTGTTGGACGTACATTAAGAACATTGAGCTTGGCCTTAGAGGTTTTTTCATGGCGTGAATGGCTGCGCACTGATCTGCGCTGGTGCCGTTTGACAGAACGACCCTCATGCCTGCCACCCGTTATGCCCTCATTACCATCACTGAGCCCAGATGCCACATCAGAATGACAGCTAATGGAAAAAAAAGACATGAAAACACATTACAGCTTTAGCACAGCTCAATGCATTCTGGGTCCACTGTGTCTGTTGTTTTTTACCTACTAATAAACAGTCATGCATTGTGGATCTGTTAAAATGGTGATTCTTACCTCTCCACACCAGGAGTTTGGAGTTGTGACAGCTCTGTCGTCGAAGTCTGAGAGACGCTATGAGATGTCTGGAAGAGCAAACGACAAAAACAAAGGAATTAATAATAGAAAGAGATGCTAACAATCAGATCAAAGAAGACAAAATAACAAAATGCACATCTAAATAAAAAGTACAACTGCTTCAGGCAAAGCCTGAGTGTTAAAAAAAAAAGATCTTATTTCACAGCAAAGAAAAGAAAGGACGCTGTGTAAGGACAGCTAAGCAGTTATGCTTCCCAGACAAACAGAGATAAAAATGAGCATGACATGTCACTACAACAGCTTTGCCCTATAAAGCAAACAAAAACTGCACTGCACTGATGCATTTGGGCCCGGTTCGGTCCGTTTCAGGTACCTGCGCTGGGTTGTCTGCTGGCAAACACGGCTGTTCGGTGGGGGAGGGGACTGTGACCACATGGATGGTTGGCACAGGTGTCACTAGAGGCGGTACCAATTGGGGTAGATGGGACGGCAGCGCTGACGGGGACGTGGCTGGCACAGGCACGGCTGCCGGGCACGTCAGCGCTTCAGGGGGGGGGGGGGGGGGGGGGGGGGGGGGGGGGCGGCGGGGTGGGGGGGGGGGGGGGGGGGGGAAGTACGAGAGGGGTGGCTGGATCAGATCAGTGGTTGGGAAGATGAACGAGGAGGGAAATATGTCTGCAAGCACCGACCGAGGGAGATGGAGACGGCAAGGCCAGTTTATGTGCAAAAGGAGTGATGTCTTCATTAACCGAAGGAAAACAATCACGAGATCAGACCACATGATGGAAACAACATGCCGCGGGGTGAATGGAGGATCACAACAACCGCAAGCAAAACACACATGAAAAACAACCGCCAATTTAAGTGCCAAACGCTTATTAGATTAATTTAGGAGGGGCATCTTTCTAAGTGCCTATAAACGTTGTCCCTGTCAACAACACACAAAATAAAATCCAAATCCAACACTATACCATAATAAAAGCATTAGCAATTAATCGCAACATGAAAATTTCGCCATATCCCTATCCAACACCACATCAAACACATATAACACACTTAATTTATTTCTGACAGAACCCACATCTGATAAATCACATTTTTGTGCCACTACTTGTACCTGCTACCTACTATGTACCTGCACTTTCAGCTAAAGGGAAAACAATTGCTCTGCACTAAACATTGGGAACTGAACAGAGAGACTGATCTCATTACCACACAACTGACAACCATGCAACATACAGGCAGAAACATGCCAGAAAACGTCAATCAAACAAGCATAGCCGAGGCATGTCAGAGAGAGACGGCCACAGATATACTGTACATTGTTTCGAAATAGAAAAAGAGGGAAACAAACAAAAAGAAGAAAAAACTTCTACGAAGTAATTTACCATTTTAAAGTTAACATGGAACTGCATTCACAATCTATCTACATATATCTCTATACACACACACACATATATGTGTGTTTGTGTATAATGCAAAATTTTTTATATTTTTCAGTAGTAATATAAAATACATATAATAAATTATGAAAATACTGTATAACATTAATGGGGTCAAATATAATTAAATTATAGGCTTTTTTCAGCATTTTTGGCTTCTAGCTTGATTTGCTTACATCACATTTAATTGTACCTGTGTGGGCTGGACCTGTGTCTGGGAACTGCTCTGAACCACAGTGCTGGGAGGCTGTTGGGGAGCTTGCTGTTGGGATAACGAGACACCTGGTTGGAATGTCTGCCCCAGAGAAACCTGTTGTGGAACAGCAGCCTAAAAAGAGAATAAGCATTTACACATGAAATGTTTACATGCTCACAGTCTCCATATAAACCTCCAAGCCTTAGAAAATAAGTGCATTTTGGGATCACATGCAGTCTGTACTCAAAAAAACTCATCCTATTAGGCCAATGTGCCCTAAATAATTTTGACTCACCCTTTAGTTTGTAAAAATGAACAAAACATTTACATTTTCATTTACAGTAATGTCCTTAACATGCAAGTCTATGGGGCAAGACATTTTACAAGAGCATAATACCGTAACACATAACTAGGAGTTTAACCTAGAACAGAGTTCCCACCACTAAAATAAGCACTTACAAAAATACAAGCTTCACGTTTTTGCTTTGAAACCCTCCGGAGAGTCTTGCCCCACAGACTGTCATTGTAAGTGCATTACTGCAAATTTTTGCTTTTACAAACCGAAGGACAAAACTATGGTGTGTGGCAATCACCATCAGCACGTCACAGATGCTGTTCATAGTGCTCAACCTGGAACACTCCTTTAATAACACCTTTAAATAGCTTACCTTCAAAGAACAACTCAACATAGATATAGACATATTGATCTTGATCTGGGACTTTAAGACATTGACAAGCTTCCTTTCCAAGCCTCATTCAAACAGAGCAACATTTTGTCACATAGCTCATTACGCAATAATGAAATAACAAAACTTAAGACGGCAAGGCAAAGAGCTCCAAAGTAAAGTGTAGGTAAATGTGAAAAAGAGGGAGAGAGAAAAAAAGGAAGAGAGAAAGAGAGGAATGGGTTTTTTCTCTACCTGCGAAGGGAGTGCTTGGACGTAGTAACCTCCATACTATAAGAAACAAATACAACACAGTGTAAGTGAAAGACACTTCTGATGTCCACAGCTTTCACACGCAGGAGAGAATCCAGAGAGATTTAAACAAACAAAAATAAAACTCAAAAAGGCCTTGGGAGTGTGTGGAAAGTGAGCGGTTTATTTGCCTTGGCCTGTACTGGATATTCATTCATGCTAATGAATGGGGGAAAAGATGATTCTGATTGGTCAGACATATTGATCTTACCTGTTGAGAAGCAGAGGTGGCTGATGGGGTGCTGCAGGAAACCAGAGACATGGCACTTGTAGATTGAGGGATTGGGATCTGCACCTGTTTCGAATATGAAGAGGAATATGGGGGCAGGCGAGAAAGTGAGAGAGAAACAGAGAAAGAGATATGGCAGTGGTGGAGAGATGAAAAGAAAAAAAAAGACAAGTCAAAACATGTTGGTGGCTACAGCGAAAACAACAATGACTTTCAAATACTGACCATTCATACACAAAGTGTGAACACTCTGAGCAATGCACTCAGGTCACCATTCACTTTTTGTGTATGCCTCTCACATCTCACGATTAAACAACAAACAAACATCAGGTGTTAGCCGGGGAGTGAGTAGGCTTCATGCATGTGACTCTACATGATTCTGTAGCTTGGGTGAATGTTATAAAAAAATAAAAAAAAAAGCTCAGGGAAGCATGTGGAGTTGTTTTTATAACCAAGAAAGCGTCTTCTAAAATAGACCCGACCACTAACATTTCCAAATTTGACCACTTTCCCCCCACATGGAGGGTTTCGACAGAAGCAACCCTTAGAAAGCTACAAATATACTTGTCCTTCAATTTCTCTTCTGCGATGTGCAGACAAGTATAGTTGCTCCAGACGCAGATCACCTTACCTTGTCATTTTACTGAAGAAATTAATTATTAGCGAGAGGCTTAAGGAAATAAGGAAGCCTTGGCAGATAAGAGGATGAAAATAACAGCAGTATAAAAGATAAAGAGAGGCAGAAAAGGTGTATAAAATAGGGGCGGAGAATGAGACTGCAGGATGACATTGATAATGCCAGCCTTCTAAGGGTTAAAAGATGACTTCTCAGCTTATGAAATTAACATCCTAAAAGTAGTCAACAAATGTTGGGTTCTTGTGCTGGTAGTTCTTTACTGAGGCTGTTTCTCGACTGGTGTCCACGACAAAGACAAAATTGAAAAAAATGAATAAAAGAATCGTTTTAACCATTTCCAGCCAACTATAATGTAGCAGCAGATCTAAAAAGCAGCTGTTAAGGTAGAATACAACAAAAACATGATTTTTTTGTAAGGAAGATTAAAGGAACAAGCAAACCTGTCTAAACCCCCTCTTTTGTTGTATGTGTCTGTGTTTGGTCATACAAATCCTGCATTCAAGCCTTTTTTTTTTTTTTTTTTTTACATATCTTCAAATCCTTTTATTTCCACTGTTGGATGTTGGTCTTTATCGTTAAAATAATTTGAAAGAGGCAATCACAACTTCAGATTTGTATGTCATTTACAGATATGTAGCATTACACAATATCTGTGCAAACACACAAGTATCATATACAGCATTATATGAACATACACACAAAATAATACTTACAAAGTGCATCTGAAATGAAAAATCAATGAAAATAAAGCAAATCACACCGTCCAATGGAAGATACAGAAAGGTCTTTGCACAAAGGGGATTTAAAAAGCAGGTTTATGGATTTTTAGCTCAATGCACCTTGTGAACCTTTCTGAGACCTAAATTATGGCTGGAGAGGGTTAAAACCACGGGACAAAAAAAAAAATCAGGTAACTGAGAGAGAGACAGGGAGTGCTGGGGAAAGGTGGACGAGAACAAGTATTTCTAGGTACCAAGGTAGCGCCCTGATGGGACAAGGCAGGCTCGTGGTATTTGAGGTCCGGTGGATGGGATGGTTGACGGGCCCAGGTACTGTGCAGAGCACTGATGTGCGAGGACGGAATGGTGGATGATTCAGAAGGTGGAACGAACAGAAACGTCGTCTGACTGGGTGGGTGTCCTTCGCTGATGTTGCTCCCTCCATCTGTTTTGTAGTACAACGTTTGTAGGATGGATTGAGCTGCAGAACAGTCTTGAGATTGGAACAAAGGATGAGGCGGAGGCGAGTGGAACTCCCCAGCATCGGAGGAGGTCATGGAGTCACTTGAAGGTTCAGGACTGAGTTCTTTAGGTCCATGGAGAAGCAGGCTGCCCGGGGGAAGGGGCAGCTCCGGGCTCACGTAGCTATACAGTTCTTCAGTAACGGGCTGCAATCGACCACACAAGCCCTGGCTGCCAGACGCTTCCTCCAGGTTAAGGTCCATGGAGCCCCGGCGGGCTCGGTACAGTCTGGACGCCAGCATGGCTGGGTCTGCCTGGAGGTTGTGCATGTGGAATTCAAAGGCGGTGCTCGGCTCAGATGTTTGAGCCAACACGGGTGGTGCAGAATGGGGAAACGAATGGGGCTGATAGCTTGGATCTGCAGCTGCGGTTTGTTGCGGCGCAGAGGCAGAGCTAGACACACTCATGGAAGGCAGTTGCGGGATCGGGCTGTGGGTTAAGCGCATGTGACTCTGGACATGAGGGTGTAGGTAAGCTGGCCCAGGCTGTGATTGAGTCTCATAGGCCAAGCTAGCTGCAGCGGCGACCTGCATTTGCTGATGGAAGCTGATGTGGCTTAGCTGATGTGCAGTCATAGGGTAGCCACTGTAGGCCATGGCTTCCAGATGGTCCATTAATGCAGCCTGGTTGAGGCTGAGTCTGCGCACAGCTTCCTCTTGCTCGGCCCTCATGTCTTTATATCCGTATAGCGGTTCTGCTGGGGGCTGTAGGTGCAGTGGTTCGGCCAATCTTTGAGCCGCCATCCCGGGCATCATGAACAGGGATGGTTCGCAGCCAGGGCCCAGAGCTTCCATGCCAGAAAACGGGTGCAGGCTGCTGCCGTAGCTACGATGGTAGGCGGGCTGGAAGTGACGCGTGTGGGCCTCCAGGATGGAGGTGCTCTTGCGGCGCTGCACGTTGAAAGCTTTAGGCGAGCAAGATGGCGGGGGGGAGAACGAGACGGGCCGTTCCGGGATGGTGGGGAAAAAGAGCTGGGGCTCGACCAGACCTGAGCCTCCTCCACCGTACGGCTGACTGACTGATTGTGGCTGCAGTGACAATAACATACAGCATCTTTGTGAGGAAGTAGAAAAAGCAACATCACATAATTCACAAAGCAAGAGAAAGAGAGGAAAATAAAAAGATAAGTGAAAACAGCAGATAATATTCATCCTATCAGGCAAAGATGTCTCAATGACAAAATAATAAGATAAGAGATGTTTAACTGCTAAATGAGGTGTAAAAACATGACAGCGACAGATTGACAATTAAATACAGATGCTTCACAGGCTGTGGGGACTAGGAACCATTTTTAATGATTGCAGTTCATGCCAATCTGTATTTAATGTGAGCACAGGGTTCCAGCAGAGTGGGCCAGTGTAACGTGGGTATCTGAAAAGGATTTTAATATGTCTTCATATTCATAAAAACTGACCTGTGGTTTACCCCTCATATTCTCAAGATTAATAACCCACCAGAACAATAATATAATCCGTTTTTTGGCTCAAGTGAAGAGGGGGAAAAAAGCAACTCTGAACCTCTGACATACAAGAAAAAATATAAATAAGCTATTTATACTTGATACATTACATAACGGCTAATTTGTGAAATTGCATTATTCATAACACACCACTTTTTGCTAGCATTACTAAGGGACTAACATCAGCTTGGGACTAGACTGACTGAAAAAGTTTGCGTTTTTACTTCCAACAATGGTTTTAATGTTACCACTAAACACTTGAGATTGTTAGGCTTAAATTCAATGTTTTTGGATTCCGAATAGCTTATTTTGACTTAATAATGTAGAGCAGGGGTTCTGAACTCTGGACCTCAAGATCCACTTTCCTGCAGAGATTAGCTCCACGAAAAACTTGACAAATTTCTGGAATTTTAATCCAAGCGAACAAAACTACATAAATGTTATAATAGATAAATGAAATGTGCACAGTTTTTATTTTATTTGAATTTTTTTACATGATTCCCAATTATTTATATTCCCGATTTCTAATATTTGTACAGGCTTTACATTTTTATTTCAATGTAGTAATTAGCAATTCATTTAATTTTATATTTGAACAGATTTGTTACGTGACAGCATTAATTCAAGTTTTTTTTAAAGGTCAAGATCATGTTATCTGCATCTCCTGCACTCCATCAAGCCACTCCCATAATAGCTGTCACCACTCAAATTAATGCACGACTCTACATTATCTATATAGCATGTGTGTAAGACTTGAATACAATAATTTCTGGACTTTTATAAGGAAACAGCCAAGCGAACAAAACTACATAAATGTCATAATAGATCAATGAAATGTGTATTTTATTAAAAAAATTTACACGATTCCCAATTATTTATATTCACGATTTCTAATATTTGTACAGGCTTTACATTTTTATTTCAATGTAGTAATTAGCAATTTATTTAATTTTATATTTGAACAGATTTGTTACGTGACAGCATTAATTCAAGTTTTTTTTAAAGGTCAAGATCATGTTATCTGCATCCCCTGCACTCCATCAAGCCACTCCCATAATAGCTGTCATCACTCAAATTAATGCACAACTCTACATTATCTGTATAGCATGTGTGTAAGACTCGAATACAATTATGAAGTTGTTATTTTATGAAGAATCAATCTCTTAGCGAGTAAAACCGGCTGCGTCTATAGTATTAAAGGCTACACAACATTATTATATTATCTTTAAATTAATTTTTAAATTATTATTATTTTAAATTATTGTCCCTGAATTAGTAGGGTACTCTTATAATAAAGTAGCGGTGGTAGTGGACAGATTTTAAGTATCAATTCGCGATCTAATCCTGTTTATATGAAATAAGCCTGCTCCCGAGCAGGTTTAAGCTTACGGACCTGTTGCTATGACAGCAACTCCAGGATGAGCTTCGAAGAACCAAACAATCCAAGATCATGCCAAATCGTCAACAATCAAATCTAGCTAAATGAGTTAGCGACGTACGAAGAACGGGTCCCTGGATTAAACACACCTACCTGCAACTTTGTAGTAATCCTGAAGACCTTGATTAGCTTGTTCAGGTGTGTTTGATTAGGGTTGGAGCTAAACTCTGCAGGAAAGTGGATCTTGAGGACCCCTGATGTAGAAGGATGCCATTTTATTTTTAGATCACACCTTTGGTGTTTTAGGGATGTAAATATCTGTCCTGAAAATTTTTTCTTGTATCAACTTGTATTATAATTTGCACTCTTCAAGCTTGTTTTGTCTTCTTATTTTCATAAAAGTGTTCTTCACAGATACCCATGTTGTACCCAAGTCCAACACAGCGGGAGAATCCTGGTTCACTGGTAGACACTAACATACAGGACTGGCAAAGATTGCTGGGAGACTGGCACGGCGACGGGGCGGGGCCGAGTGAAGGGGCAGGACACTCTCCAGTGCCTTGGACAGTCGGCCCGCAAACGTCTCCCCATCTGGCCTCCCCAACCGGGGTGAGAGTGGGGCTGATGCGACTGGAGGAGGGGTTGAAGGTGGCTTGGGAGGGCACGACAGAGCAGAGGTGGTAGAAAAGCACGGCACGCAAACAGACATGCTACGACCACGACGACGGGGAAGAGGTGGAGGAGGCTGGAGGTGAAGGAGGGGAATTGACTATTAACCACAATGGAACACAAATGGAATACACAAAAAGCCAAATAACCAAAAGAAAACTACAAGGACTGCATGTTGTTACACAGAAACTTGGTGTGTTAATGACCGGGAAATATATGCGGCTAAGAAAAATCACTAAAGAAATGACACTATGTCACTGCTTAAGCAGTATTCAGACTCCAAGAAATTTACAGCACAGACTGTCTACCATGTAGACAACGGATACAAACTGAGGTTAGCAAAGTCCACGAAAACATCACAGAAAATCTCTCTGAGATGTTTTATGATAAAGAACAGCATAAACAGAAGTACGTACAGAATATGTACAGCAAACACAAAGACCACAAACAGCAAATTGGGTATAAAAACAGAGGAACAAAAATAAATGTACAATAACAGTCATCAGTGCTGTGCAGACTTCAGATATCACTTTGAGTTGGAACTAAGCAACCATTTCAAGTCAGGTGAGAAGATATTTATTAATAAAACCATTATTATAAAAGTAAATCATTAGAAGTCACACCTACAGACAGAGTAATAAAGAGAGAGAGTCTTTGACATCAAGGTGTTTGCTTATGACTAAAGTGTTTCAGGCTCTATGGAAAATGATGCAAACTAATTCAAAACTAATGAGTGAGAAGAGATGAGAAAGTCCCTGAGAAAGATCCAGAAAGTGTCCTCTATCAATGTTGTGACTCTGATGTGTTTAAATGATCATGGTTTAAGTGCCCAGAATGGCAAAAACAACCACCCAGGAAGTGATAAATGCCCGCCAGTCTGCACAGCATGATACACTGCTACACGGCACTGCCTTTTTGGGAGGAATCAAAAATACTGACATGAAACAAAAAGAAAGAACGTAAAGGAACCCAAAGAATGTATTAAAATGCAAAGAGGATGAAGAGGGAGAGGCAGCTCAAGTACAAGTGGGAAGTGGAAATATACTTGGCAGTCAGAAAATAAAGAAAAAGCAAGACAGAGAGAGAGAGAGAGAGAGAGAGAGAACTGAGTGCTAGGGTTGGGTATTGTTTGAATTTTATCGATTCCAATTCCAATAAGACAAAAAAAAAATCCAATAAAAAAAAAAAGTTAACATTTAGATGTTAAACATATTTATTCTGTCTTTTTACAAAGCGTTCAGTTGCAGCTAAATAACAAGCAAAAATCAGCAGCCTACAGAACACTAAGGCCTACAAGAGGAACTTTTGCCTATGGTTTTAACAAAAATACCACAGTGAAAACAACTGGACTAATATTAATTTCAAACATTGTTAAAGACAAACAAATCAATTAGCAACAGCATAAATAAATACAACTGAACAAATTTCAAGTACAAACATTTTAATCAAAAGTTTAACAATACTGCATAGTTTTCTTTTCATAAATAAAATATAGATCAATCCTCATTAAAGTCACCATGGTTCTCCGTGCTCGCGGCACGCAAAACAGTGCGCAAGTTCTTTCCCTTCCTGTGATTAAATGGTTTAAAAATCACACTAAAATGTGAACGCAGGAATCATTAAGCGGAATCTAAATGCACGTGTCTTATCGAATACCCAGTTCTTGGATATTTGGAACCGGTTTTAAACTGGAAACGGTTTTCGATACCCAACCCTACTGAGAGCAGGCCTTATGAAGAGAATCAAACCCATTTAGAATGTAGACGTTATGGGTTTGCTTTCCTTTCTCATGCATCATTCATTTAGTGTCTTATAATAACAAACCATCATCAAACTCCAAAGCTAAATACATGCAACCACAAAGAGATCATATTCAAAAGTTAAACAACAACTGAACATTGATTCATGATTCAGTAGTTATTCATTTCAGGCTATACAAATTCTATGTACAGATCACATCTGTGTTGCTTTACTGGGTTCTTACCTTTGCACAACATGAAATATTATGGGAACAGATGGAGACATTAGAACTAAATAAATTCTAACTGAAGATAAACATGTGGTCACATGATTTGCTGAATTAACCTGTCGATAATAATGTCAAGTGCACACTACAATATAGAAACATGTTTTCCTGAGCTCATTTAACTCAGTTTCTTGTTTTCCATCGCAAATCTTTTGAGAAGTTTGGTGTGGTGCACTGATCATCATTTTGGCTAGAAAATGCTGTAACATAATAAGTGTGGAATTTGTCAATAGCCAGCAGCTGTAAAAAACAGATCAAAGATGCAACTATGTGACCTGCTACACTGAACCTGCAATTAGGTGTTGAGTTCTTGACTTAGCCCAAGTTCTTCTTCTGTGACTTACCATGGGCTGTTGGGGGTATGCGGTGTGCTGTTGGGGAGCTTGAGAGCTGGGAGGGTAGGCGGCCTGTCCAGGCACCTGCTGGGGTTGCGACGCTGCAGGAGAACTATACGACATGCTGAGCTGGCTGGGGTGAGGTTCTGAGAACACGGATGAACCCTGACCACTGTCAAGCGCCCCGTCAGCCACTGGGAAAAGATACGACATTCAAAATTAAATAGGAAATGACAGGTAGGTTGATAGTTTGTTTTATTTGTTGGTGTTTAATGCCATGCCAGCTTCTGTGGCTATTTTCATGGGGAGAAAAATTGATGGCTAAATTATATCAGGTTTTTACAATATATTTTAACTAAAAACTCTAAAACTGTATTTGGCTTAACTTTGTTAAAAATCTCTTCAAAAGAGTTAACCGAATGAAAAAGTTTTCAGGTAGGTTGATCGACTGATAGGTTGCGTCCAACACTTACAGGTCATTCCACTTTGCATGTACTGAAGCTGCTGGTTTGCGTCAGGCTCCTCACACTCAGGCTGGACGAGGCCAGGGGTCGGAGGCTGGGAACCGCACTGACTCTGTGCAGAACCTTGAGAGCTGGGCACGTTCTTCAAAGACTCGCTGGACAACTGCTTTTGCTCCTCCTCCTGCTTGCGTTTCTCTTGCTTGGCTCGCACCTGCTGTCTTTGCTCTCGTTTGCGGCAGATCAGGGACACACGGTCCCTAATGGCCTTGGCCATGGTTTTGTGGTCACCCTCGCAAACATAGCCCGACTCAACCTGTATTTAAACACAGCATATGTTACCATGTACTGTACATGTGCTATATCTGATTTGGAGAGTCATTGATAAACCCACCATTTCCTGAGCCACATCTTCTGGCACATCTCGATGGAGGTCGAAGGAAAACTCGATGGCTTCGTTGTCTTTGTATTTGCCTTTCAGTTTCTTGACGTCTTCAATACGTAACCAGAGTTTGATGGCAATCACCTCCCCATCATCCTCCTCAGCCAGCTCCACCCGCACCCCAGTCTCCTCCTGGAAGAAGGCATGGTTCAGAAGGTCCTTGATGGCGTATCTGTTAAGGAAGAGGCAAAATGACAAGCAAACAAGGCAAAAGACGTTAAATAAGGATAGTCGATCAATAAAATAAATACATTTAGAAGCACATAGCTGACAAAGATCAACCAAATCACATTTATTATCTAATTCAGAAGCACAAGGTGGAACTTTGGGGTTGTCCAGGATGGAGTAATAAAAGAGTAACTGAATGATTCAAGCAAAATAAACTTTAAAGAGGACCTGACTTGAATTTGAGCGCCTCATGATCAAATTGATCTTTATTGGGTTTCAGAACTCTCCAGACATAAGTGAAGTTTGATGACTTGGTGCCATTCTATGGTGATGTCGCATGAATGTCATGAAAACAAATTTCACCATTCCTGGTTTGTGTAGTGATAAATATTCTACCCAACATTCTATCCTGTTGCATTTGATTCTATGGAACAAACTCACTCTCCATTCACAACTCATCAACAGGAGACATATGAGGAAATCTATAAATGTTTAACATGAACTCTAAATCAAATGTGCACATACTAACAAATTAAACCACTAAGGATGTGCGTACAGGGATTGACCAATCACGGCACATTTAAAAAGAGCTGATTCATGTCACCTGCATGGAATTATGGATATAAGGGTAAAAGATAAGATTGCACCAAGTCAGACCTTTCACATTCAGGAGAGAAAAAAAATCTCAAGTGGCCTCTTGATTAGCTGTATAGTAGACATCAGCTTTTCCAGTGCTTCATCAGCAGAACATCAGATGTCGTCTCACCTTACGCTCGACACGCTGTTTGCGATTTTCCATTAAATTTTTTTATGCACTGAAGCGTCAGCTTTATGACTTTCCACAAATTATTGGGAAAAATACCTCAGCTGGTGATCAAGGTCATTAAAAAACATTCAGATGCAAATAAAAATTTAGTTTTTTTGGCTTGGACATTTAGGTAGACAGACTCGAACAGGAGACAGTCCAGTCAGGGCTTATGTTTTTCTGTGGCATGAGGACACAGTGCACTCTTCGCTGGCTTGGCGTGATCACAGATCCATTTCACTAAGTGGCTTGATGCTGGAACTTTTCCAAAACAGCGTGAGGGACTTATCTACTGCTACTATTCACATTCCACATGGAAGACCATACGCCTAGAGATTGCGATATACACTCACATCAGCACGAGTTCAGTGCATCTGCGGGCAGGCACACGGCACACGTCGCTGAGAACTGAGGTATGACTAGATGAATGAGTTCTGTGAACGCAGCGTGGGTGTGTGTAGTAGGCACAGCCTTACCTTTCATCTTTGTATTGGCGAATACATCCCTCGATGATCTCTTTCACCTCTGGAATGGCTACTTTGTCGAAACTGCCAGGTTTAACTCCCTGCAGGGTTGAAACACAAAAGAATATTAAATCAACATGTCTTTTGTGCTGTGAAAGAAATCCTTTTAGAGCTCCACAGGGACTTAACAAAACTACATATGGTGCATGCTTTATGCGCTTTAGTGTCTGCCAGGTGAAAATCATCGGAACAATTTCTAGACAAATCACACAATCTGAGATGGCAGAAGACAAGCTAAAGTTTCATACTTAGGGTTCAGAGTTTATTCAGATTCCTAACCGCAAGTATGCGCAATAGTGATGTCTGCCATAGCAAGCACTACTAATAAGTGTTTTTTGATGGCATAAGAGTAAATGTGGCTTGCCTTATAATGAAACCCACGACTTTCAAGATATAGCTGCTTAACTGGCAGATTCATTCATTTTGCTGAACAGAGTTACCTTCTCAGTCATCAGGAACACTTAAATCCATTAAGCCAGGAGTTTTCGGAGGAAGAAAAGCGAAAAGGACTAAAGGACTTTATTTTTTTTTTATGAATAATATATTTTCCCAAAAAACATTTCAAAGATTAATTTTGGCTTTAGTACAATGATTACATATTTATGCAAATATTTACAGTATTTATTATTATTATTTTTCTTAATTTCTTAATTGAAAAAACCCTGAATTAAGATAAACATATAAACACTAACACAGAATCCCTATATAGATTATAATTCAATTAAATATCTAATGGAAGATGAGGGTACGCAGAGTACTAGTAAGAATTCTGCTCTACAAAATGCTAATTTTACTATCAAATATTGTTAAAATGTGTCATTTACTTCATTCTTAAAAATACAGGCAAAACTTTGGCCACCTTAGGGGTCAATTTATTAATTATATTTCACTTCATCTCTACAAATCCGTATGGATTTCTAGCAACATCTAATCTCATTCCCAGCCATTAGAATTAGCACTGGAAACAACAAACTCCAACAACAATTAAACAATAATATTCTGCTACTTTTCCCACTATATGTCTTTACAATTCTAAAATGACCCTTTTAAAATCATTTAACATCACAAAATGCCTACATACAGCTAGGCTGTCAAAACCACCCAAGACAAAAAGAGTGCAAGAAACTTACAAGTGAAATCCAGGAACACTGTGTTGCTTTACAGAGTGGTCTGCCTGAACTATTACTCCCCCTGTCTCAGCATTATCTCTTTATATAAGTCTGTAACCCCCCTCAAATTCCAGTGCCAAACAAAGTTAAGGATGACGGAGTATCTAACAGAATTAAGGCAGAACAGCGAAGTATTCCGATAACAAGGTGATTTAAAAAGCTTGTTATGGACGCTGTGAATGGGTCCCCTAAAGCCAGATACATGCTGTTCCCCAGCTCTCCTACCGGTTAACAAAGGCGAAAAATTAGAAGCAATCATTTTGTATTTAACAAAGCAGAGAGAGAGAGAGGAAGGCTCCTGGAACAGCTGGGGGCAGAGAAAAGGAGCAAAAGCAATCTTCAACTTATACTCTGTTCAACTCCCCAAGCGACAAAGTGTTATGGTGCATAAGCATACTGAAGAATACTATTTTCTGGTTGAACTCCTTCGATGCCACATCTTGAAATTACATTCAAGGGTTGGAAGATACAGCCAAATGACTGAGACATTACATCCAAACTAGACTTTTACCTTTTTTTTTCATGCTTAATCCAATTCTGTGTGATATTTTGGTAAATATTCAAGTACAAAATAGGATCAAGGGTTTTTTTTTTTTTTTTGGAGTTCTTTATCATTTATCTGGTAAGTGTCTTCTCAACAAGCTGCGCAATTTTAAGGTATCATTCATGTCTGTAGCACAAATTGTGCATGTTAATTTACATTCTGAAGCGTAATACTTGGCAACAGCACATTCACAGATAATAGTCGCATGATTTTACACCACAACTCTGATGTCAGTGCTGCCATCAGACCAATTTTCCAGTGAATAAATTGGACAAAGCTGCAGTGCTATTCATTTCGGCTCCACCTCTAAAGTCTTTGCTTTAGTTTAATCACCCCAATAATAAAAGGGAAGATCTGCAATGCAGTCAGACCCGTGTGGCTCCAATTCCATGAACACTTCAGTGAAACGGTCAGGCTGAAACCGCTCCATGCTCACTGCTTTGAGATTACAGGCAGCATTTGCAGATGTTTCGATGGAAAGAACAAATCTGAACCGTTTCAAAGTCCCACATCTGTCTGTGAGGGCAACCTCGGGTCCACTGAGCTTAAAATGCTTCCTGATTGCGTAAAGCTTAAATTGCTTCTCTCAGTGAAATGTTGTGCATGTGAAATTGGATTTCATGAGATTAAAAAGCCTTCAGGCAGGGTGGATGCCAGTTTTCCAGACAGGCGGATAGAGCTGGTGAAATCTAGGATGTGCTCTGCACTTTCCAAAGCTAACAGGTGGAAAGGGAAACACCTCTACACCTGACTCAAGAGTGCTAATGAAAAGAAACAGACAAACTTTGCTGTACGTACCACTAATAAAAGCAGTCTAGAACCTTCTACATTAACTTTTTCAATCACCAGAGCAGCTCTAAACTTATTATACAGTAAGAATGTACACTTTTGGTAATCAAAACAGCAAAAATAAAAAAAATAGTATTAACAAAAACATTCAGGCAAATAGAGAGGATTCAGAATGGAGAATCAGTACTGCTCCCTACTGGTGAGCCCCTCACAGGCTTTCCACAATCCTCAGCCAGTTGTTTTCTGCCTCTGCTGATCATATTTTCAACCTCCAGCATCATATGATCAGCCTATTGACCTGAACGAGAATAAAAAAGCTCATGACTGCCTTATACTCCCCCTCCTCTTCTCTACCAATGATTTTAAAGGACATCAATGAAGGGAAAGACTGATTCAATTTATAAACTATTTATAAACAACATGACTGGCCTTTTCCAGCCTTCTAACAATGGTCTTGGATTCATATATAGCTGTACTCTCAGGGAAATTCACCTCGATTGTTCTGACAACGTATTGTCCATAAATAGATGAAAAATTTTAATCACCTTCAAGCATGATTACTTCACAATGGCTTAAAAGAGGTCTGAAATAAATAAATCCAGAGAAACTGGAAAAAATAAATATATTGTGGAATATTTTGAGTTCAAACGAGACCACGTCAGTCAAACACGAAGCTACATTAAAGCTGGGGAGAGCAATTGTTCGAGCCAGAGACTGACTTCATGGAAAGTCAACACATGACACACCACAAGCTGATATCAGTGACGGCTGTAAAACCGATTTAATCAAAGCGAAATTTTATTGCGACTGGCAGGAAAAAATACCTTATACATCCAGATGTCCAACTGTTTTAATTTTGGACAATTACTTCTTATTGGGTGGGTCTGAGATAAGGTTGGACCGTATGACTACCAGTAAACTGGTCAAAATTAGGAATCTTAAGGTGTTTTTTACAATAGCTTTGAAAGTGGCTCGTCCAATCAGAATTTAGAGTCCCATCAATCAGTTTTATAATGTCAGATGTACAGTTTTGAGTCTTTTCCAGCATCATATGATCAGCCTATTGACCTGAACGAGAATAAAAAAGCTCATGACTGCCTTATACTCCCCCTCCTCTTCTCTACCAATGATTTTAAAGGACATCAATGAAGGGAAAGACTGATTCAATTTATAAACTATTTATAAACAACATGACTGGCCTTTTCCAGCCTTCTAACAATGGTCTTGGATTCATATATAGCTGTACTCTCAGGGAAATTCACCTCGATTGTTCTGACAACGTATTGTCCATAAATAGATGAAAAATTTTAATCACCTTCAAGCATGATTACTTCACAATGGCTTAAAAGAGGTCTGAAATAAATAAATCCAGAGAAACTGGAAAAAATAAATATATTGTGGAATATTTTGAGTTCAAACGAGACCACGTCAGTCAAACACGAAGCTACATTAAAGCTGGGGAGAGCAATTGTTCGAGCCAGAGACTGACTTCATGGAAAGTCAACACATGACACACCACAAGCTGATATCAGTGACGGCTGTAAAACCGATTTAATCAAAGCGAAATTTTATTGCGACTGGCAGGAAAAAATACCTTATACATCCAGATGTCCAACTGTTTTAATTTTGGACAATTACTTCTTATTGGGTGGGTCTGAGATAAGGTTGGACCGTATGACTACCAGTAAACTGGTCAAAATTAGGAATCTTAAGGTGTTTTTACAGTTGTACAGTTTTGAGTCTTTTGTTTATAACTTTTTATTTTGAACTGATGCCAGACTTTTTCATTTGTTCATTGTTAATAATCTTGTTCATTTCCATCAAAAAATCCAAATAAATACAAAAAATTATAATAATAAATTTAGATGATGTACCTTTTGCTTCTAAAAAATAAATTCAATGGCTTTTCGAGGAATAGGTATTACCATATACATATTTAAATATTATTTTTTAAAGAAATTAATACTTGTACTCAGCAAGGATGCATTAAATTCATCAAAACTGACCATAAACATTTATAATGTTAAAAAGGAGATCTGTTTCAAATAATTATATTTAATTCTATTAAATTCTATTTCAACAATAAGAAGAAATGTTTCTTGAGCACCAAATCAGCATATTAGAATGATTTCTGAAGCAGGATCATGTGACACTGAAGACTGGAGAAATGATGCTGAAAATTCTGCTTTTTTATCACAGGAATAAATTACATCTGAAAATATATTACAATAGAAAACAGTTACTTTAAATTGTAATAATATTTCACAAATATGACCGTTTTTATTGTATTTTTGATCAAATAAATGCAGCCTTGGTGAGAATAGGAGACTCCTTTCAAAAACATAAAAAAATCTCATCAACCCCAAACTTTTGAACAGTAATGTCTATTGTGATATATACTGTTAATATGACATAAAAGTAAGATTTTGGTCATACCACCTACTCCTAGTCATTTGAATGACAGTTGTATGCTGCTTACATAATCTCATATACAGTGTGACGCCTCCAGCTGTGGGCAGGTTTCAGTGAGCGCATAACAGAACAAGCTTCTTTTACTGAATTATTTCATAAGCAGAAGCCTAAGGAATGTGTGGGTGTAATGACAGAGCTGGCGAAGATTATAGCAGAAGGAGAGAGAAAGAGGCACCCAAAGTGAATGAAGGACAGAGAGCGAGCAGAGGTGTGCGAGGTTACTCACGCTGGTGACTCGGCGATAGATTTGAGCGGGGTTCTGACACTCGGAGTACGGGTACTCAGAGGTAGCCATCTCCAGCATGCACATTCCGAAGGCGTACACATCCACCGACTCGTCGTATTTTTCCTCGTACATCTCAGGCGCCATGAACTCAGGGGTACCTTAAATCAAAAGAACCATTCAGAACTCTCAGTGCCTGAGATCTCTACTCACCCCAGCAGGGCCGGGGAGAGGAAGGGAGAGAGAAGGAGGAGGAGGAGAAGAACTGCACTGTTGCTCCGCACGGGCCTGAGACCAGAGAAAGAGGGGGAGCAAAAGATATGGAGAAAAGGAAAAATAAAAATAAAAAGAAAGAGGAAGGGGGAAAACCGGCCTCAGTTATTTAGTAGTGAAAGAATCCAGTTTTTCTCTGCAAGGCCTTTAGACGATCTATTTCAGTACTTCAGACTAGTGCACAAAGCAGCCAAGCATCATCTTGCAAACAGGAAGTTGATTTAAGCCAGACGCACATGCGTTGGTGCAGGTTACTTTTAGAGCTGACTGATGGGCTTCGAAACTGCGTTTATCTTTACAACACGGCCGTGCCACCAACACATTAAATGAGGTACCGGACAGCGGTGGGCGACTAGCTATGGAACTTGATCTATGTCAACAGCACAGTTATGGAAAACACATGACCGACTCACCTTTCTACTAGCCTGTAAGGAGAGAAGGTTAAGCAGGTTAAAGCACAGAGCAAGCCCATAGCTAGTGAGCCAAGACTCTCGTGCACTAGTGCGTGTTAAAAGGCCCCGCACAGAAAAACGAGCTAAAATATAGATTCATATTTGAAATATTTCCATTTTTGGATTAGGTTGCTTTGTTGACTTACCACTTACTCGGCATTTTTTTTAGCATACTTACTGTCTGAACTGCAGGACATTAAATAACCCATACAGTGGAGTGAGACCAGCTGAGATTATAGCCCTACAGTTTAAAGGAAAAAATTCTCAAAAAACAGAAAAAAAAAACTAAAACAAAAAATGGAAACAAGTACATTTCAGAGGAAACAGAGAAGGGATCCAAAAAGAAATTTATGACAATATCTAAACCATCTGAAAAGGAAAAGGGGAAAAACTGATGAGGCAATCAGGAAAACCTTTGGAAAAAGATGTCAGACATTACTGGCAGCAGGAGAATTTCTAGGATTTTAATAATTATAGACCACAGGTTCCAGAGCAAAGTGTTTAATCTGTTAATATTCATGCGAAAAGTTCCCGTAGCACACTTGCTAACAAAGCGTTATCCACCATGTGGCTGTATTGGTATTCTTAAGGCATATATTACCCGAAATACCCCAAAGTTTATGGAAACTTAAGAGTGTTTTCACCTGTTGCATTTACAGGCCAATTAGTTTCAGGTGGGAAACAACAGGATCTAAAGGTGTTCCCCCAGTTTATAAGAAGTTCTCCTCTGAATTTCCCCCATCTCCACCCCAAATTAAAACTTGTGCCCTTGGCTGCCTGGAAAAACTGTGGTCTAACGTGAACAGTGTAGAGTTTAGAGCTACAGCATGCCTTAAATATCTGAGCGTAACTGACAGCAAATGTCCCACCTTCCCAACTTCACCTCATCATTGAAATGACAAGCAGTGAAGTGATACATATTTTGGATTGTATACGCCATGGTGAACTGACTTGGGAGGTGGGGAAAGCAAGAAAGTTTTAGTGCTGGGTCATACCTATGACACTCTTAGCGAATGAAGAGCGCTTGAGGGTGGCCAAGCCCAGATCACCGATCTTAACGGAGCCGGTAGGGCCGGTGATGAAGATGTTGTCGCACTTAAGGTCCCGGTGAATGATGGGTATGTTTCTTTTAAAAAATGTTGGACTAGAAAGATTTAAAAGGTCTTTTATGTGAGCAAACAGGGGCAGGGTGAGGGACAAATCCCTCCTGGCCAGTTATGCCTTTGGTGACCCAGACAAATACGAGAACAAAGAAGAGTTTAGGCATGGCTGTGTCTGTAGGACGCTCCGTTTCTACCTGACCTCTTGATCACTGTTTATCTTTGCGGTGGAGGAGTAGCCATGCAGAACTGCAGGGCTGACGAACACAAAGCAAGCCTGACATTGTTTCTCATTTTTCTTTTTCGCTCATCTCCCCATGTCTCCTCCAACTGTCTTTCTCTCCTGGCATCCCATGAGTCGTAAAAACGCACAATGTTTGGGTGCTGCAGACCTTTCAACATGCCGGCCTCTTCCTTGAAGCGCTGGCGCTCTGATCTCGAAAGCTTCCGATCCTGCAAGGACAAGAACAGAAGAAATATAAACCTTTTAGCCACTCATTTTACTTAAATGAGATGGAAACCATACTTAACAGCCGTTTATTGCATGTTAATCATTTCTCAACTGATACACTGAGGGGTAAGTATTACAGATGTGCTTTAAATCAAATGCCATGGCTTTATGTTAAACCACTATGGCTCATGAAGGAACTAGAGGGGGTCCACTCAACCTTAAATAACGTAACCCGACCCCAGATTCCTGCCAGACCTCCGAAAGAGCCTCTATAGACAAAGCATAAAGCACAGGAGGGGACTAGACTCGTCCAGATTAAACACAAAGTGGTCCTCTTATCCTGTGCCTAATCCCTGTACGGACCACACACAAAAGACACCTATAAGACAAAGAAACAGCAAAAGCTAGGTGCAAGTTGCAACTGGTTCAACATGACCAGTCATGGAAAACGACACTACATCATCTCCCTTGATTCTCTGACCTACCCAAAAAACCTCTCATATTCTATCCAGGGGAGCCTGACCTGCCCAATCACAACAGTGTCCGGGGTTTTGGATGAAACGCACCTCCCTGCGCATGTGGGTATCCAAGCGTTGATGTCAAAGTTCCTTTCCGGTCAAGCTGAGCTCTTATCAGCAGTTTAAACAGTGTGCGCAAGCCTGATCATTAATCATTATTATGCTTGCTCCAGCAACCGCCAGTGATGAATTAATACAGTGGCACTTTGTGGAAAAAAGGCCACTTTTCTGTGGCCTACTTTTACACGACCCCAGCGCTTAAATCATGTGTATTACGCGAGCGCTTATGCCATTCTGCGAAAGACGTGCCCTGCATACCTGGCGGGAAAATTGCAACATGCATCTTATAAAAGCTATATGTAAGAGTTCAGTGAGGACACCTATAGATTCTCTGGCTTTCTGCAACCAGTCTATTCGGTGTCATTGATGTGCTGCCATTCTAGAATGCTGACGGTGACATTCTTTCTCCACATTAATGCAGACAGAGTCATTCATTTCCCAAATGCACTAACAACTGTACTAGCAGCAGGCATCTGCAACCCATTAAGTACCACTAATCCCAAACGACAGTAGAGAGAGAGAGAGAGAGAGAGAGAGAAACAAAGGGGATTCAGCCTTAGATTGGGGAATGAAGTGTAAACACTATTGACTGGGGTGCAGTGCAATGAGAGCAGAAAAGAACCATGATGGAGAGGGCAAATCAAAATGAGAAAATGCTGAAAACACAGTTATACACAAATGCTTGGCCAATGCACTGTTGTTGTGCGTACTTGCATACTGTGGTGGTATTCAGGTAGTTAGGTATGAACATGTTGACAGTTTAACTGACATTAACTAACTTGCTCAGCAAGGTTCTCTTCAAGCTCTTGCTCCAACAAGCAGTTAACCTGAAAAAAAAAAAGTGACTATAGGAGGAGGCAGTTCATGCTAATGCCCACTACAGTGCCACTTTCGGTGCAAAAGCTTGGAAGCATTCATGTACTTGCGTACGATATGATTTTGGGCCATTAGACCACATTTTGAGGCCAAACTTTAAGGAAGGCAGTGCTCGGATTCTCCTCTCTGTAAACAGAGGTCATCTTATTTCCCATCTCACTGAGTCTGTAGATAATCTAATCAATGGCTGATAACGCAGGACAAAGGAAGAGGTCTCCTGCAGCATACAGGGGGTTGCAGCTCTGCTAGTCTGTCTTCTGGTCTGAGGTAAAAAGAAATTGGAAAACGACTCATTAATTGTGACTTTAATGGAGATTATGCATTCGCTCTTGCTGATAAGACACAGGAAGAATAAACAAGTGTGAGTGAGTGGGCGAGCATGAGCACGTGAGAGAGTAAGGGAAGTGATGCGTTTAACTTTGGCACCTCATGCACGCTTGTCTTGGCAAACCACAAGCGTCATTTTTAGCACCCCGCTTCTCAAAATAAAAACACAGGTGCTTGTACTCTTCTCAATCATGTGATGAAAATAATTGAGGGTTTGGTTACAGGAGTAAACACAGCTTAAACAGATATCACTGTAAATTAAACTACATAAAACAGACAAATTAGACAAGGAAACCCTTGCAAGTGGAGGCTACTACTTCATATTAGGGCTGCACAATTATGACAAAAATCATAATTGTCGATTATTGCCTTAAAATTGTCATTGTGATTATTAATTACGATTATCACAATTTACATTGAATGATGTTTATACCATTGTTTGAAGCAACCGCATGCCATATTTTTAGATGAAAATAAACAAGATGAAAACAGACTCTAGCTGAAAAACTTGTATTGTTTTTTTTATAGTATTAAGCCTCAAATGTGAACTAAACATTGGATTGGTTTCTTCTTCAAATAAAAAAGTGAAAATATAGGCTACCTGCTATTATAATGTTATACTAAAACTAAAATTTAAATACTTGAAAAACCCTTAAGATAACTCGTACAAAGAAAGAAACATCTTAAGCACGCAGAATAACATAAGTGGACTTTGAACGACTAATTGCCGCTTTGAACGATTACGTAATTGTGGCATCCGTAATTGTAATCGCGATTAGAAATCCGATTAATTGTGCAGCCCGCTACTGCATATATATATATATATATATACAGAGAGAGAGAGAGAATTAAAGATTTTTAGAAAACCCAAGATACCCATGTTACAGTTATCATTTCTTAAAAGAGGAGAGATAGAATGTCAGCATATTTTCTTAGCAGGCTGAAATAGAATTCTTGGCAGCTGAAAATGGGTCTTTTAAAGTCTTAAAAGTTAAAAGACTGAATTATAAAACAGCAAATTCAATAATTAGTAATGTTTCGGACACTTTTTATTGATCAAATGCTGCCTTTGTGAAAATAAGCCTCAATTTGGTTCAAAAACAACACTTTAAAACTTTTGAACGTAGGGTATGTGGGCGTAAAAGAGAGCATATTAGGGCTGGGCGATATGACGATATTATCATATATCGACGATGTCTCGTAAGCATTGCGATGTCGAAGTCAACAGTCAGGTAACAGACGATTATCGACATTATTGGAAAAAAAATGGCAAATGATAAACCTAGTATGTTGCAAAAAATATTTTACATAGCCCCATAGTCACCATACAGGTCTTTTTGCATGCAAGAATGAAACTATTTAGTAGGAGGGTTGGGAATCGAAAGCTATTCCAATTTTGGAAATCAGATTAGATGCGTAAGGTCAGGAATCGAATTACTTCCTATAAAATATAATTGAGATTCTGCTTCTTGATTCCTGTATGCGCATTTATTGTGATTTCAAAAGATTCAACTGCAAGAAGACGAAATAGAACTCACTTCTGCACTCGCGCGCTGTTTTCGTGCTGCACACACACACACACACACAAAGCGCAGGCACAAAAGCCACCTCTTATATACGCGAACACTGGACTGTGCTCTCTTTCTCGCATTCTTACACATTCGAATGGACAAATACACACATAATTATATCAAAATATCCCTTAAATACAATCGGTTATGTCTTAAGTGAACGCAAAGAGCTGAGAAAGAAAACAAGGGTGTATTGGATCC